TATGACAAACGTGCCAAACAAAGGCTGGGGCATTAAGAAACACATGCATGTGTTTTGTCTTTATTTTTTAAAAAAACATTGGAAAGAAAATAAGTAATTTCTGTTTAAAATAAACAAATAAAAGAGATTTTTAGTAGGCGTAGGTGCGGTGTTACAGAAGATGTGCAATAATATTCTCGGATAGGCCGAAACAACACGTGAACCCATCTGACTTCGAGAAGCTTGAAGATAAAGAGGACTGTAACTTTGAAATATTTTATTATCAACTTAGTGTAGTGCAACTGAAGAGAAGCATAAAAAGACGTATGAATCCCTTCTGCTTTTTCTTTTAGGACTTAATCCAAAAACAGGCAAACACATAAACTATGCGCACTAGTGTCTCGGCATTAATGAGCGCAAAAGTGCAAGTAAATGGGGAAGTGCAATCCACAAATGCTGCCCTCAAGTCTACACTAAAGCGGATGTTGATGGTTAGAACATGATTTAGCAAGTATTTTGACAGCTGAAGTGTAATTTTAAGTTCTTTAAAGCTAAAACCACATTTTCTGTTTTTAGACTTTCAGATGTTTCTTTACTTGAGATTTCTTTTGTCTTCCACGGTAGTAACAGGAATTTTTGCACACACACAACCCCCTCCCCAACAACGGCATTTTAACACTGAAAAAAACAATTAGTCCACGGATCAAGAAAATAACTGCACTCCACGTACACAGGAAGCTCGCGCGCGCGCGCGCGCACGCACTCTCTCTCTCTCACACACAGCCTTTCTCTTTATCTTCATGCTTCCGGCTTTCTAGAAACTTGTGCCGTGACTGCAGTGGCCTTTTCAAAAGCAACAACTATAAAATTACACTGCAATTAAAAAAGAAAAAAGAATCTCAATTAGAACATCTGCACTTCTTCATCTTGACATTTTCACTGAAACTGTTTGCCTGCTTCATAAAACCACACACACACACACACACACACACAACACACAACACTCACACACACACACACACACACACAGCTGTTCCCTCTTACATTTTAGCACCGTGTTATGACCTTCTCAAAACTGCTCACACAAACTTATGAAATTATCTGCTGCAATTTTAAAAAAAAAAAAAGAGAGAGAGAAAAGCAAAAGAAGGAATGAATGCTTTTCGAACGTCTGTCTAACAAACCTGCCTGTTTTTATCATGCAGAAGGGGATTGCTATAAATTACAGACCATTTATAAACAGGCGTTCAAACAAAGTGATTTATGAGGAATGTAATTTCTTTAAATCTAGTTTCTTCTGTGTCTGTGTGCTTTAATGAACTGCATGTGACTGCCTTAACCTGCCTGCTGCTGGTTTCTTTTTACTATAGCAATGATTACATCTGTAGACTTTCTGTTTCCATGATACGTATGTAAAATATGATTGCAGTAGCATAAAAAAATTATGCTACTGCAATCATATTTGAAAAATTTGCTTTTTTGCCTAAGGCCTCAAAAGGTATTTGTTCAACCTCACCCAGCAGGGACAGATAAAGTCCACAGAACTTCTTAGAAAGAAGCTCATTTCAGGATTTCTGAGAAGACGCTATTCAGGATCAGCGCGCTCTCCTGGGTATGGTTATGATTATGACGCAGCATATTTCACATATTACTCTGCTTCCAAACTACCACATATGTCTGAGCGATGGCTCTGAGTATTATTGGAATAAATATTTTAAAAAGCCGGACAGGATATGCCACAGATTTTACAACAATACGCAAAAACCCAGCGTCAGAAATCATCCTTAACAGCCCTTATTTGGCCATATTCTCGTAAATGAAACAAGATATCAACACCTACATGCATTGGAGTGTAAGCTGCAGGCCGATGCAGGGATCTCTTACATTCCCGGGAAAATAAATACCAGGTGAGCTCAAATAAGCAGAAATGTAACTGCAAATGAACTATAGTTTAATCTAGGGCTGCATGTGTGCAAACAAGACACAAAAGAGCAATAAAAGAGAAGATTATCAGAAGTCACAAACTGAAGCACAATCAGCTTTTCTCTGTCTCTACGGCAGTCTTAACCCGGTTTATATATTTTTCTAGTTTATTGTCACAATAACAACTTGTTTTCTCGAGCGTAATTACTCTAAAGCTCCTAGAAAACCTCTCGCCGTGTTTTTCCACCAGGATCGAGGGAAATCTATATTACTGGAAATAGCCAGTGAGCATTCCTATTATCTTTAATGTCGAGGCGGTGAATTCCCAGAATGAAGCCTCTGTCAGGGCCGCCCGGCGGGGCGGAGTCAAGCTCTGCAATTATTCCTGGAAAGCGACTAGGCAGAAGCTGCCGCGCGGTTCCTGGGAGCGGAGCGCAGGTTCAGCGAAGGCGGGGAGCCGCCGGGTGAAACGAGGGGAGAGATGCCAGAGAAAAACAGCACGGTTCGGGGCGGTTGTCCTGGGAATTAACCGAAACACAAAAAAACCCACACACATATATGTGCGAACCCGGTTTGTCCGTCGAAGGAGCGCTAATAGAGAAGCTGTAGCCCTGCCGCGAAGCGAAACAACCGGCGGCGGTTGGAGCGGAGTGGGAGTTGGTGCGGCCGGCGTGACGTCAGAGCCGCCGGTGCTGCGAGTTCTCAGAATAGACTTCTAGGAAACGGTAAATTTTAAAAGCCAAGCCTTTACACTCTGTCCTTCACACATCGGGATCTCATTCTGGCGACAACACACTCCAACGCAGTGCTGCGGAGAGCTGAGCTTTACAGTAGAGCCGCTTTTAGGTCATTTCTATTATATTTTATTGTTGTTCTCCTCTCTGCTGATCAGTGTTAAGGACAGGAGCAGAGCCTGTTTGCGTGCGCGGAGCTCTTCGGGTTACAATCGAGCTATTCATACATGAAACCCATGTCACCGCGGATTGTTTGTTAGCCAGATTTTTATTTTTTTTTTCCCTCCTTTTTCTTTAGATACATTTTAGTCTCTGTATGTTTTGATTGTTTTCTGAAGTCCGATTGGATTTAAGCCCAGAGAAGTGAAGAAATAGAATGATTCTTTGTGTACCCGGGTGAGTTGACTTTTCTTTGTGTCTCTGCTTTCTCTTTGCTCGTCATTGTAAAGAAACCCAGCCGGGAAATTTCAGTTACGCACACATATATATACACTTATATATATAAAAATATATAAGTGTAAAATTGCCTTAATTGGCCTTAATTATTATTATTGTTGTTCAGGTGAAAACAAGACAAATGCAGGCCTGTTGCAAGATCTAACGTAACCTTTAAAAAATACTAGTTATTAGTAGTTCATTGTTTAGGTCAGTAGTAAAAATAGGATAAAATGCAATAAAGACAGTTTTTTGAAAAATAAATAAATCAGCCAAAAAATATTAAAATTCCAGGGTTAAAAACAAGGAAGCTGTGATAAATCCTCCTGCTGTGTTTGTTTATGTCTGCTAACTAGTATCTTCCATCTGATTTCCAGTCCTGGAGCTCTTCTGCCCACTACCCCGTCCACTGAATCCCCGCGGGGTATGCGGGCAGGAACTGCAACTCCCACCCCCTGCTTCCAAAGCACCAGTCCACGATGGGACCCCACAAAAGATCTGAGGGCCATTGCCAGCAACTTCTGCTACCTAGAAAATTCAGGTGTGGTTTAAAACATGCTTCACGTCCTTTTCATTCCAAAAAAAAAGGAGGAAAAAAAAAGCATTCCTAAAAATCCTCGATGTGTTCCAGGTATTGTTTGGTACATTTCATTATCTGCTCTGAGAGATTAGTTGATTGTTCATCGCTAAGTAAACATCAGGCTTCATGCAGGACAACACGATCTGTTCACGGTGACTAATATTTAGGAATTTGTGTGTGTAGGATGGTACTGGGGAGCTGTGACTGCAGCCCAGGCCCACGCTGCTCTTCAGGAGGCATCTGAAGGAGCCTTTTTGGTACGGGACAGCAGTCACCCTCTGTACATGCTGACCCTGTCGGTCAGAACCGCGCGTGGCCCCACAAGCATACGGATCCAGTACAGCTGCGCCCAGTTTCTGCTCGACTCCAGCTCCCCGGCCAGACCCAGCCTGTCATCCTTCCCCAGCGTTCCCAGTCTGGTGCAGCACTACATGGGACCAGAGAGAAAGGCAGAGGAGGGAAGAGTGGAGGAGGAGCCTCCTTCAAAAGCCTCTCAGCAGGGCATCCAGGAGACCACAGTGGTACTAAAACTCAAGCAGGCTCTGTACAAGCCCCAAAGCCTCCCCTCTCTTCAGCACCTCACACGCCTCGTCATTAACAGACAAACTGACTGTCCCGATCAGCTACCACTCCCAAGGCCCCTGCTGCGTTACTTACAGGACTATCCCTTCAAGGTCTGAGGGGGCGGAGGAGGAGGAGAAAGAGGAGAAAGAGGAGAGGAGGTTCACTGAATCACTATTAATGGCTGAATCTCAGCTTAAGGGAAAAAAAAACAAAAAAAACAACACTTTTAAGCGGGTCCTTTGTGCCCGTAAAAGACATTGCTGCTTCAGCAGTTGGAGGCCAGTTGCAAAAATACTGGTCACAGGGTGATGTTTTTGGTGACAAAATGTGTACAAATTCAGTTAATCCTGCTGTGTCTGGTTTCAGACTTAAATTGTTGAGGACTGGATGTCGAAGCACCCCAGGAAAAAGGAAAACAACAACAACAACAAAAACTTGTGAGAAACATGAAGTACTGTACTCTGTTTTATGATGGATGTGGAAAACTGTCCATATCTTCTCCCCTCCCTCATCAGTTCAAGATGTATATAGTTTCCTGAGAAGTACACTGATTACACTGAGACATCTTTTATGCCATTTTATTTTTGTTTTCTCAGTACAGCATCTTTTTGTACCTTTTACATGTGTACGTTTTTCTATTAAAACCACCAGCTGGACTCTTGGCGTGTCATGCTTTTAAATTTGTATCCACTTGTTATTCATCTGTGTTGTTTGAAATGCCAAACGTTTCTGTTGTGTTAAGGCTTGCGATCGCCATCACCAACCCCCGCATGACGACTGCTCTTGTGACACTTGTTAGGAAATATTTTCCCTTAAATCACCTTTGAAACACAAAGACTTAGTGGCCTTTAAACTCTAAGTATGCGAGAGAAGCAGATTGTGTGAGGAAGTAAAGGCCGTGCTGCGTGAGCTTTTGCTCAACAATGCACGCCGCTTGCATCTGAGTCAGCGAGAGGACAAGCTGAGGGGAGGACCGTTCGTCAGCGGATTCACAGAACTACTGAATGCTTCCTGGGAGGAGGGTGAGCTTCTGAGAGGGAGGGTTCCGAGAAAAGCTTCGGTAATTACCTTCAGCTTTGGAGCCTGCGTTTTTTTTGTGCCATCTTGCACACATTTTTTATTGTGACGCAGGATGTGATCACGACTGTTACTAGATTAAAAGTGCAGCGGTGACATGAAAACAATGTGCGCTTGTGCAAATTATGAATGCTGGGTGTTATCAGATCAGTGTGAGCGCGTGCTTGGTGGTTCAGTGGGGGTAGGGGAGCTGAGGCAGCGGCGACCTGAGCTAAAGCCAGCGTAATAGGATCTTAATTTCTCAGTCCAGATCCTGCTTGTGGTCCTTGTTTGACTTCTTCCTTCTGAAGGATGCAGAATCGAGGCCTAGGAAACACAAAAAACGAGCCGGCGTCACCGATGCCCAAACCCCAGACCCCTTAATCAAATCACAGCGATGGCCCTGAAAGTGGGCTCACGCAGAGTGATTTCATATGAAAACTGATATTGATGTAAAGCAGTTTTATTGAACAGACCTGCCGGTGATGTCATGCCGTGCCTCCTTAAACTGCAGCCCGTCCACGTTCCCCTCCACCCACTGTCGAATGAGTGGGGGGTGTCTGGGGTCCACCTCCAAGTAAGCACGACTGTTTCTCACCAGGAAATAAAACAAAAAACCCACAGAAATGGGGTAAAAATTAATCATCAACAGGACTCGATTTTGAAAAGTAACCCTGAGATGAGAGCAGCACATGCCTGGAAGTGCATTCACTGGAAGTCTTTTAGAAAGCTTAACACATTAAAGAGGCAACACGATACATGTGTTTTTCAGAACATGCTGTTCTTGTGACAAGGCGCTTTTGCCTTTAGGAATTGAACACAGGTGTGTCCGTCTGTGTGTGAGAGTTGGCTTTTTTTTGGTTTTTACCCATAACTGGACAGAATCTGGGGAGCCAGGGTCAAAATCTGCTTGATCACTTTCAGGCCGTCTTTGCCTCCGTCTAAAGCAGCCGGGTCTTCAAATCTGGGGAGCAGCACACAGCAAAAGCACACACTGTAAAATAGATACAAACATCACATATTTTAAAATGTTTTCTAATGAAATCTGATAAGCTTATTTATTAGATTTACATTTTACATGCAAATTACAGCTAAAAGTAAAGGATGAGTGCACATTTCCTTCACTATGATCATTTCTTCTAATTTAAAGATCCCAACATTGATTAAATGGTCAGCTACTCATAAATAACATATATTAAACAGTATGTTAATATTGTTATATTGGTTTCATTGTATTTATTAAACAGCTTTAACAAATACAATGTTTAACAAATTGTAACAATTGTACAATTTTTTATAAATACAACTGTATTTGTAAGCAACCTAAAACAGTAAATTCTGCTTGGTTTTATATGCCCAGAGATTATCTTTCATAAATCTTTTATAGTTTCATATATTTCCACCTTCTCCTATAAACCCAACAGATGAATGCTTAATGACATTGTAATTACTCACAATTATTTAAACAATACAACCTTAATAGCTCACTCTAAAGATTTGTACATTCTGCATTTAATAACAACTTTTACGAATCCAACTGAATAAAGCTTTTTTTAATGTTAAACATAGACAGGTTTAATATATATAAAATGAGAATTTAGTCACCTTAAAATTTCAGGTTCAAGGGACGCCATGTCTTCTGAAAACAGGTACGGAGGGTTACTGACCAAAGTTGTAACTGGCCTAATGAGACTGAGTAGAGTTTCTGCATCTGATAAAAAACAAAACAAAACAAAAGAATCTTTTTATCAGCAGAGGGATCAGCTTTGTTATTTAGAAAAAAACATGCAAAACTTTCACTGACCCTTCATGACATCGATGTGATGAATCTCTAATCTATCCTCAAGTCCCAATCTGCAGACGAAAATCCTTTTTCAGATTTTATGAAATCTTTATAATAATGTAATGTAATCTTTATAATAAAAATAAATCAATGCTAAAGGACATTTACAACATAGTTTTCATGGGTTGTGCTGCAATTACCTTAGTGCGTTCTCTCTTGTTAAATCCACTGCATCCTGGCTCTGATCCAGGGCGACGCCTTTAAGCTGGAAAACAAAACACAAGAACTAACTTTACGCAGAAGTTTTCTCTCTGTTTTCCTGTATTTGTATGCACGGGAAAATTGGGACATTTTTACTTCTTTATAATCTGATAACAGAAGAGAGTCTAAAACATGCAAACACAATATCACAGTATAACTGGAGTGCATGTTTGATCAGCTGAGATGAGAAGATGTACATGTGATGTGCAGATTTGCAGCTTATCAACTGGAAATCTATAACTAATGATTTATCATATCAGTTATCCTATTGATTTTTTTCCCTGTTAATCAATGTGGCTCGGCTACAGGGAGGGGTGGAGCGGGGGGTTCAGTGTGTTGTGTCAGGGGAGGTTGACCCACACAGCTGTTCTCCATCACCGGGTCATGCCTTCCCTATTTCAGGAGGATGCCGGGACCGGACGAGAGAGCGGTGTGTGCTGCGCAGAGCGAGGCAGCTGGAAAGCTGCACTTTAACTCTGTAAATAAAAAACACTCAACAAACTGTAACACTGTGGTTGTCTGGTCCTTCGCCATTACAGTCTATTAATAGTAAATAAATAAGTCATCACTAAAAAATGAAACATAACATATGGTCATCACAAGCCTCAAAAAAACACTCAATTATCTCAGCCTAAAGAATCCACTGTCAAATGTTCTTTAGAATAACTAAATAACGCATAAAAAGCTGCAGCCTTTGTATGAATACTCACTGTTAGGTTAAGGCAATTTATCTATTTAGACTTAAGCTGACAATAGTAGTGAGCAACACTTTCCAATGGCTATGGGTCAAAAAGCTCAAACAGCAGTTTGAGTGTATAAGGCCATGACATTCACCTGTGTCAGTACCTGACGTTCCCGAGGTGAGCATGGTGTTCCATTCCTCCAGAGGAATTTATTTAACTTAGAGAATTAATGCCAGGATTGAAACTGTTCTCATAACACACGACTGCCCACCAACTTACGTCGGTGTTTTTCACAATTTGTAATTTTTCTCTAATTGATGCATCACGTTCAGCATCTAAACAAGCTGACATTTGCTTGTTATATGGGATTAGTTTCAAAAATGCTTGGTGCTACAGGAAATGTCACAACTTCCTGAAGAGAACATGAAAGTCTGTACCCAACGTTACTGATTGCAAAGAGGATCCTGATCAAAACCACAGATGTTCAAAACACAACCTCATCTGACAGATGTTGATGAGGAAGAAAAAACGTCTGGGTCTTGAGATTTTGCAGACACACGACCACTAACCGCCAGACATTCAGTTTGTAGCTCATTTGGACGCATGACCGTCATGGTGACAGTGTAAGATCAAGCGAATAAGGTCCCGGTCACACAGGCTTAAAGACCTGTCAGTGACCATCTGGCAACCTCCGGGTCATGGAGGAATAATGAGTTTACCCTGACCGATTGCAAGTGGTTGCTAAAGGCTGATGGCAGTCGCTGGGAAAATAACTGTTAAAGCTGCAGCCACTCATGCCTAAAGACTGGACTCTTTATGGCGTTATTTTTGTGCCACTATTCTGAGTGCACATAAAAAAAATTTTTGCAGGTGCAAGTGTTGCATTTTGAGGAGAAATTTATTTTGAGCGAAGAAAAGCTACATTTGAGTGAACAAAATTCATTGCTGCGTGCAAAAACTGTGTTTGCTATTATCCCCACACACACAATAGCAGCCCCTCTCGCTCAGTTTTTGCATTTGAGCTCGCTCGCTATGTGTGCTCTCAACATTTCTGCCCGTGTGCATTCAACTCTTTCTGTACACCATGTGCCACAAAAGCAGCCAATCACAGACTTGGATGCAAAAAAATCTGATTGGCTATTTTGGTCTCCAATCAGCTCGAAATGACGAAATGCAATATCCCAGAATCCATTTCGTCCAAAACTCAAACGAGGCAGTGGCGGAGTTTGAAATATCACTCTTTCTGGGTTACAAAATAAACTTTTAAGATATTTTCATACGATAATGGTTCTGTGTAAACTTCAAAAACCTGCTCGATTTATCAAGACATCACATATTTGCAAAAGTGCTCTAATGTTTTCGGAGATGCCTGTTACCCACCAGCTGACCGCATAGCTGGACTGGCTATTGCGCATACCGGACATTTGCCCGGTGGGCCGATGGTGATCTTTCATTTTTATGTTTGCTTGTTTGTTTTTGTAATGGTATAAACAATGAAAGGTGGTGGATTAGCCAATTGGCTAATCAACTCAGGGCTGGACCAATTACAATACATCCTTATTGAGGTGAAAAGGAACGCGATTAGTCCCGTACTTCAGCTAGAATGAAAGAAAGACACAAAGCTGGAATTATTCTGTGTTTTTGCTGTACAACTGCCTGTTCTTCTCTCATTCTCTCCCCTCCCTCTCTTGTTGCTACTTCAATCATGAAACTGATCAATGATCAGCTGATGTCTCTCTTGTTTGTTTATCGCCAACTTTGCACCAGAAACAGGAAACCAGCGGATGTTGCGCTAAACAACAGCAGCACGTTTAAGCTTGATAAGCTGTTGTTAGAATTTATTTAATATTACTTTCTAGTATCAGCTGATGTTTGCCAAAGCCACAGCTGTAAAAGCTGCTGGTCATGATGTCGGTTTGGATATGTGGTGACAGGGAAACATGAAAGTGATACAAATCATACATATATACCAACAAGACAGTGTACATCACTGTGACAACAGCGTTTGTTTTAATTCAAAAGCTTTATGGTTTTTCCTACAATACCTGGTGGTGTAGTCGGCCGATTTTTTGTCAGTTCAGCCTTATACTATGTTTAACCCGAGTGACCACCCGGTCAGCTGGTGGGTATAACAAGCATCTCCGAAAACATTAGAGCACTTATGCAAATATGTGATGTTTTGATAAATCGAGCAGGTTTTTGAAGTTTACACAGAACCATTCTCGCATGAAAATATCTTAAAAGTTTATTTTGTGACCCAGAAAGAGTGATATTTCAAACTCCGCCACTGCCTCATTTGAGTTTTCGACAAAATGGATCTGATTGGAGACCAAAGTAGCCAATCAGATTTTTTGCATCCAAGTCTGTGATTGGCTGGTTTTGTGGCACAAATATAACGGCGTACAGAAAGAGTTAAACGCACACGGGCAGAAATGTTGAGGGCTGCTATTGTGTGTGTGTGGATAATAGCAAACACTAAAATACAGTTTTTGCACGCAGCAATGAGTTTTGTTCACTCAAATGTAGCTTTTCTTCGCTCAAAATAAATTTCTCCTCAAAATGCAACACTTGCACCTACAATTCTTTTTTTTACGTGCGCTCAGAATAGTGGCACAAAAATAAAGCCATAGACTCTGACCCCCTGACAACCACCTGTTGCTAGGGAAAAACATGTATTCGCTGACTGGTTGGCACAAAACTCGTTGTGATTGCTTTGTGTTACAGCATATTGCTGTGATCATAGTTTGAATGGAGGTGACAGACCTGTCTACAAACTAGTGCGAATAATTCGATGATAAAAAATTCTTGACACAAATTCTTTTACTTGATGCTTCGCTTAACACTTGGCTCTGAAGCATGTGTTAAACATTGTAAACGCAAGTGTTTCCCCCTCATTTGCGACTAAAAACAGTCCTACAATAGAGATATTTCATCACAGGATCCCTAAAAATAACTATAATAATAGTAGTAATGATAATAGATTTTAATATTATTTTCTGACATTGTCTTCTAACGCTATATTTTGCTACAGTAACTCCTCTACTGAAGAGTGAAAACTGCCCAGCGTTGTTGTACGTTTTTCGTTGCTGCGGCAGAAAGAAGATGGAGAGGCAATTTTATGACACAAATAAGTGATGCAGACTCAAAACAAACTTTAACTGAAATATAGCAAAAGTGCAAACTGTTCTGATAATGCAGGGGCGATGTTGTGACTTCTCTAAATAACGTCAAAAATGTTAGCTAAAGTAGCCTAAGTCACTTGAAATTATTAGCTAATTGTAGCTTTCGGAGCCATTAGTCTGCTGGTATATCGCTAGCTGCCAGCAAAAGGGGCTGATGTAGTTTATTATTGATGTCTATTCCTGTTCTGTGCTTCATTGTTTGTCTACAGTACAGCTCCAGATCCAACTGAGAGCAAGTCAAAAGGAAATCTGTGTCCAGTAGCAGCCTTTATTCAGTCTGAATATTGTTCTAAACATGGATCAGTTTATGCCTTTTATTGGTTTTAAATTCTGTTTCACTGTTACATTCAACCTTTGGTTGACAGCATAAAGTCTCATAGAGGAGTAGAGAGGGAGAGGAAGGGAGAAAAGGAGAGAAAGAGAGAAAAAAATAAACAGGCAAGAGTGGACATGTATATTTCAAAGGGAGTGTAGCTTCTGTTTTGCCCATTTTCTTTCATGACGAAATGTTTCTCCTTGTGTCTAGGATGGTTCTTTCCAGGTATTCCAGATTCCTCCAACAGAATAAACATGTGCAGTTAGTGGGGTTAGGTTAACTGTGAGTGTGAATGGTTGTGTGTAGGGCTGCTCAATTAATCGAATTTTAATCACGATTA